TGAATTTGGGCGCTCCTGTACTGGCCCGTACATTTCCTAAAATCCTGGCTCTCTTTAACGGGCACGACGTTTTAGTTAAGTACTGCAATGGTTTAAAGTTTAAACCGCTAGGCCAGAAGTAGACTCTGTCGACTACCATCTTCCCCCGAACACAACGCACCCTCATTTTGGCTGTATCTGGCCGGAAATATAGCTTGTATGCATTCATTTTCAGGGTGCTTTACGTTCGGGGGAAGACGGTAGCTTAGCCTTGGACAAGAGGGCACAACTTAGGTTGACAGTATATAGGCAAACCGGGGGCCGCTGTAGGCCTCTAGGGGGGAGGGGCAGTAGGACCAGGGCCGAGGTCCCACTAGCAAAAAGGATAGGATCGAGCTCCTGAATCTGGATGTGTTTTAAGCAGAGATGCAGAAAAGCAATTCAATCTCTATTTATGCACATCTCCATAAACTCGTCCAGATTCAGGCATTCTATCCGATCCTCTTTGCTAGTGGGACCACCCCCCAGGACTCGGTCCTCTGGGCCGAGCTACCAGTCCCAGACTTTAACTATGGTAGTTTAATCTCTGAGGACCCAGACACAGTTTGTGAAGTAAGGATTTAAATCACTCCCTCAGATACTTGGAAAACGGATTTAAAATTTAAAAAAAAAAAATCAAGAGGTCTTTGTCTATGCATTTGGAGAGGACTGGTTGGTAGCAACAGCGCTAAGGTGTAGAGACAAACTGAGTGCAGCTTCTTGTAGAAAGAAACGAATAGGTAGGGACTTGAAAGTGGGTTGCAGAGAATTTTCGTCAGCGAAGGCCTGTAAGCTAATATAAGCTGGCTGATGCTGTCAGGACTCCGGGGGCGTGGTGGTCCCACTAGCAAAGAGGATCGGATCGAATGCCTGCATCTGGACGTGTTTGTGGAGAGGTGCAGGAAATCGAGATTGAACTGCTTTTCTGCATCTCTGCAGAAAACACATCCAGATTCAGGCATTCGATCCGATCCTGTTTGCTAGTGGGACCTCGGCCCGGGTTGAATTGTGAGGTCCCCGGCTTCAAGGTTGTTGTTTCGAAATGAATTGAGGTCTTCAATTTAAAAAAAAAAAAAAAAAAAAAAAAAAGATGTTGCTCAGTTCGTTTTACTGCATAACATAGTTTTTAGGGGGGATTTTTTTGGAAACATAGTTTTTAGGAGGGATTTTTTTGGTTTGTTGTTGTTGCTTATCTTTTGCTAAGAGCTTCTCTGGTCCTTGGACGGCCGGGCCGCCCGGGAAAACAAGGTGGTGGGTGACCCGGGCGGCCCGGCTGGTAGCCTACTGTAGGGGTACAATATATTTTCGTTCCGACACGCGGCCCCATGTCTTCTATTCGGGGTAAGAGGGCGGCCGTTGTATCTAGATACGACAGAGCCGTGGAGATCGGCTGAACATCAATCTAGTCGTAAATGCGGGCTACATCCATCCATCCCTTAGAATCTGTTAGCGCCCCGTTTCAATTTTATTATTATTAATCACTAATTAATAATTGTCAATTATTATGATTTATCATTTATTACTATTGTTTATCGTTTCTTTCCTTCCCTCGCAAATATCAACATCAAAAAAAAAAAAAAAAAAAAAAAAAA